TTCCTTTAACTTCATCAAAGGAAAGCTCAGAGAACTCTCCTTGGTCACCAAGGAGAACAGCTTATTGGCTGTAATTGAAGTGACAGTCCAACACCCAGGGTCTGCTGTACCTGGGGAAAAAGGGGTAAGCTGTTCAGCAGTCAAACGGAAGCAACTAAATAAGCAGGCTTAACCCTGAAGGGGCTTCAGTTTCTTTCCTTAAAGGAAAATTATGTTTAATTAGAGTTGTTCGTAGTTAGGTTTTAAACACCACCTAAAAAAGCTTCAGCCCAGAGACTGTTACATTTGCTAGTTGTTTAGGTTAGCAAGACAAAAATGTTTGCTAGGGATGGCTTGTTAAGGAAAAAAAACCAAACTCCTCCCTCTAAGTTATTATGACTTGGTAATTAAGAGGCTTCAGGCAAAAAGGTTTGGAAAAGGACAGTAACAGCTCTTTATTAACATACATATATCTATAACAAAACAGAACAAGGAACAATACCATAACCAAAACTTTCAACACAAAGCCCTACTTCCCCTCTCCGCGTAACCAGAAACCAACCCAAGCAGGGGCTGCTCGCACTTTTCGGGAGGCGAGGGGTGCGGTGGCTCACTGGCAGGCAGCAGGAAAGCATTAGCAGGCTCTGGCGAGTTGGCGGTCGCCGTGGCTCTCCCGTGACAGTCAGGGGCCATCCACGGGCTGTTCCCGGCGGCTCCGCAGTCGCTCACGGCCACGTGAGTGATGGCAGCCGGGGGGCAAAAAATTTAGGGGGCTTCCCGCCAGTTCCAGGGCTACGGGCACGGTCCTCAGCAGCAGCTCCACGCTCCCCAGCTCAGGAAACAGCTGTCCGCAGCGGCAGGCAGTGGGGGCCAGGCAGCCGTCGCAGGGAGATGCTCGGACATGTGGCACCGGCGCAGGGCGCGGGCGGGGCCAGGTACCTCGCTCCGAAGGGGTCGTCGGCGGGGGCTCTACCAGAGCTTATCCCAGTGGTGCGAGCAATGGCCGGCAAGGACCTGGGGCCGACCCCGATGGGGGTGCCAGGCAGGGAAAGCTCCTTCTCGGGGGTTAAACAGGAGAACAAAGAGGTGGCTGCCAGGTCCGTGGGTGACGAGCAGGAAGACATACAAAGAAAAGGCCTAGATGTGCAGCGCCGGCCAGCTTTAAAAAAGCCCTCCCCGCTCCCGTGCCCTTCTGCGTGCGACCCCACTCCTCCCTGCCTCTGCCACCCTGGGAAAAAAACGGGGTGGGGTGGAGTGCCCTTTCATTGTTGGTGAGCACTACCCATTAATGGGTAGTCGGAAAAAATTCTGGCAGCTCTTTGCAAAACTAATACAATTAGTTGATTTTCTTGTCTCAAGCAAGGCAGATGGAAACAGTGTCACAAAGTGGTTTTAAAAACCACAGTGCGTGGCTTTTTGTTGTTATTGCCACAAATTCTGGACCAGTTTCCAATGACGAGTAAAAGCTTTTATCGTTGGCAGAGTACTGGCACAGCTTGCCCAGAGAGGCTGTGCATGCCCCATCCTGGAACTGTTCAAGGCCTGGCAAGGTTATGGAGCAGATCATCCTAAGTGCAGTCCCACAGTACCTACAGGATGGACAAGGGATCAGACCCAGCCAGCACACGTTTAGGAGAGGCAGGTCCTGTCTGACCAACCTGATTTCCTTTTATGATCAGGTGACCCGCTTAGTGGATGAGGGGAAGGCTGTGGATGTGTCTATCCGGACTTCAGCAAAGCCTTTGATGCCGTCTCCCACAGCATAACTCCTGGAAAAGTTGGCAGCTCATGGCTTGGACAGGGGCACTCTGTGCTGGGTTAGGAACTGGCTGGAGGGCCAGGCCCAGAGAGTGGTGGGGAACGGTGCTGCATCCAGTTGGGATCCGGTCACTGGTGGTGTCCCCCAGGGATCAGGGTCGGGCCCAGTCCTGTTTAATATCTTTATTGATGATTTAGATGAGGGGATTGAGTGTACCGATAGCAAATTTGCAGATGACACCAAGCTGGGGGGAAAGTGTTGATCATCTGGAAGGCAGGAGGGCTCTGCAGAGGGACCTGGACAGGCTGGAGAGTTGGGCTGATTCTGACAGGATGAGGTTCAACAAGGCCAAGTGCCGGGTCCTGCACTTTGGCCACAACAACCCCCTGCAGTGCTACAGGCTGGGGACAGAGTGGCTGGAGAGCAGCCAGGCAGAAAGGGACCTGGCAGTCTGGATTGACAGGAAGCTGAACATGAGCCAGCAGTGTGCCCAGGTGGCCAAGAAGGCCAATGGCATCATGGCCTGAATCAGGAACAGTGTGGCCATCAGGACCAGGGAAGTGATTCTTCCCCTGTACTCAGCGCTGGTGAGGCCACACCTCAAGTGCTGTGTCCAGCTCTGGGCCCCTCAGTTCAGGAAGGACACTGAGGGGCTGGAGCAGGTCCAGAGAAGAGCAACAAGGCTGGTGAAGGGACTTGAATGGAAGTCCTGTGAGGAGAGGCTGAGGGAGCTGGGGTTGTTGAGCCTGGAGAAGAGGAGGCTCAGGGGAGACCTCATCACTCTCTACAACTCCCTGACAGGAGGCTGTAGCCAGGTAGGGGTTGGTCTCTTCTCCCAGGCAACCAGCAGTAGGACAAGAGGGTATGGTCTTAAGCTCTGCCAGAGGAAGTCAAGGTTACATATTAGGAACAAATTCTTTACAGAGAGGGTAATAAGACATTGGAATGGGCTGCCTAGGAAAGTGGTGGATTCCCTGTCCCTGGAGATTTTTCAGATAAGGCTGGATGTGGCACTTAGTGCCATGGTCTGGTAACCACGGCAGTATTGGATCAGGGGTCGGACTTGATGATTTCGGAGGTCTTTTCCAATCCAAGCTGCTTCTGTGATTCTATGATTCTATGATTCTATGGCTCTATGTTACCCCTCTCCCCCTGCCTCCAGAGGCCACCACCTCTGGACATCAGCCCCTCTGTGACATCATCCCCCGGCTGAGGGCACCGCTGGCAACTCGAGTGCTGCGGGCACCTTGTTGGCAGCTGCGCTGGAGGAGACAGGCCCTCACTCCTTGCAGCTGACTTGTGTCGCTGGTAGCGATGATTTTGCTGCGCCTGCTCATCCTGCTGGCCCTGTGCAGGGCCGCCACATCGAACACTTGCGGGTAAGTGGCCCCAGGCTCTGGGAGGGAGCCTGGGCAAGCCGTAGGGGCTACCCTAAGGGTGCCTGCTTGTCCACCGTGGCTACAGTAGAGCTTCCCAAACCCCATGTGGGAGCCTCAGCCCCTTGCCCGCACTCAGACTGCTGGCACAACTCATCTCTGGGGCTGAAGCAGACACAGGGGCAGACAGACACACGCCCTCACGGGGTCCCCTGGCCCTGCTGGCTGTGCAAGCAGTGCCCTGTGGGGAGGGAAGTGGGCTGCCCTTCAGCCTGAGCAGCAGCAAGCCCTCAAGCAGGACAGTAATGACCTTCTGCTTACAGACAGGTTTGCGGGCTCCGGCCTGTGCCCTACAGCACGACGCGTATCGTGGGTGGTGTAAATGTCCCACCAGGAACCGGGGCCTGGGCTGGGATAGTCAGCATCCAGAGTATTCGGACAGAAAAATGGTCTAGCCATAAATGTGGAGGGACCATCATCAGACCAAAGTGGGTCCTCTCAGCTGCCCACTGCTTCATCAACCGCACAAAGTAAGGAGGACCAGGGAAATGGGATATCCCCAACACTCAAGCCGGTGCTCTGTGCCCAACACCACGTGCTACGCCCATCCCATTTAATTGCAGCATGCCCAGTGCCTGGGCACTGCAAGCCCAGCAGAGAGACTGCTCAGGGAGGAGGCTGAACTTGTGTCCCTGCTTCCTAGCAGCCTCCAGCTGGCACTTCTGGAGCCTAAGCCATGCTAGTGCGGTCACCCCCCCGTAACTCTGCTTTCCTCTCTGCCTTGGGCAGCAGAAGGCAGGGAACTGGTGGGCTGCCACAGCACATGGCTCTGCTCCCTCTCAGCCCTCTCTCCATCTACCTTCCAGTCCCCTCAGCGAGTGGGCTGTTCTAGCCGGTATCATTGGTACTGCTGAGGTGGGGCCTCATGTGCAATTGCGCCGGATTAAGCAGGTGCAGTTGCAGGAGCTCTACGATGGCCGTGGCCGTCTGCTTCATGACATCGCCTTGTTGGAATTGGAGCAGCCCTTTGAGTGCACCCCCTCCATTCAGCTCGCTTGTCTGCCTGGTCCCACGGTGACACTGTCGCCTCTGAACTGCTACGTTGCTGGCTGGGGTAGCACCCAGGCAAAAAGTAAGTTCCCAAAAGGACCTGTGCCCTGAAGGGCAAGCTTGGCACACTGGGGAGAGATGGGTGGGGCTTCCAGACAGCAGAGGCCAAAACCAGGGTTGGACTGCAGGATGTATGCCTCTAGAGAGATGGGATGAGCCTACTTCCCGAAGCCACACAGCAGCAACACAACACTCCAGTGCCTCTCCAGAGACAGAGCCAAGCCCCAGGGAAGGGCTTCACCCCCAGACAGGCCAGGGGAATGGACAAGGAGCTGCTGGGAGCTCATTCCTTTCTCTGCTCACAGCTGTAGCTTCACAAGGAAGCATCCTGAAGGAGGCCAAGGTGCTCCTCATCGACACCCAGCTCTGCAACAGCAGCGACTGGTATGGAGGGCTCCTCCTACCCGGCAACTTGTGTGCTGGGTACGAAAAGGGTGGCGTGAGCACCTGCAAGGTAGGAGTGTGCTATGAGTCATTCAGCCTCCCCTCAGCGCTGCCCAAACACAGTTCCGCGTGTGCTTTGCCTGGCCAGCTGCCCTCCCAGTCTTGAGGCCCCACCACCGCTGGGGCTTCCCTCCCCGTCTCCTTCCAAGGGTCCTTGCCCAGTTCCCCCTTGTTCCAACTGCCTGGCACTCTTCCCAGAGAGCCTGCCTAGTGCTCTTGGCAGTGCAGAGGTCCAGATGCCAACCCTGGAACATCTCTTCTCCACACCTCCAGGATCACTGAGAACAGACCTGTAACCTGCTCCCAGTCATGGTTCTGGAGGCCTCAGCACCTGAGCAGAGCCTTTCCCTGCCAGGAATCCAGCTCTGCCAGGGGCTGGGAGAGCAAAGGAGCCAGCCCTATGTGCTGACGGGCCACCCAACACTCCCTTAAATCCTCTCTGCTTTGCTGTAGGGTGACAGCGGAGGGCCTCTCATCTGCAAAGATGGCAAAGCTGACATCTTCTGGGAAATTGGCCTGACCAGCTACGGAATAGGTTGTGCCAGAGCCAAAAAGCCTACAGTTTTTGTCTCCACTCAGTACTACTACAACTGGATCATGAAACATATTGGCCAGAGCCCAGCTACTCCAGCACCAGTGCAACCCTGTCCATTCCCACATAAGAAGCTGCAGCAATTCTTTGATCTGCTGCAGGAGCTCTTGAAGTTCGTAAAGGCAGCAACAGCTTGAACAGCAGGATGGAAAGGCTGTGGTGCAGGCTGTAGTGAGCCATAACCATGTCCTTCTGGGACAATGCCTGCTGATCCAAAGGCAGCCTCAGTGCCAAAGGCCTGCTCTGTCCTGCCCGCACTCCTTCTCTGCATGCACACAAATGCTGATGTTGACTTAGTTGTTGTTGTTGAAATAAAGTTGCCTATTTTCACCATTAACCATGTTGGCAGTCCCACTCAGTCTCCTGTGCCCTCGAGGCCAGGCCTCCCTGGGCCGACACCTGCAAAATGAGGCTGCACAGGCAGGCAAAGGGAAAGGGCACAAAAGGGAACAAGGGGAAAGGGTCCCTCCAAAGGGCTGGAACCGTGCCTGCTCAGAGAGGAAGCCAGGGGTGCAGTGCAGAAGGGAACACAGGTTCTAGGGCCTTACAGGTCTTGGGGCCAGCAGCTGGAAATGCACGGTGTCTTAGGCTGCTGACCGGTGGGATGCCTCTCTGTGTGTATGTGTGTACAGCACACCAGGGAACTGGAAACTGGACTTGGGATGTCTGGGCAGGAACCTTCCAGCTCCTTGGTCTTCCTTTAACTTCATCAAAGGAAAGCTCAGAGAACTCTCCTTGGTCATCAAGGAGAACAGCTTATTGGCTGTAATCAAAATGACAGTCCAACATCCAGGGTCTGCTGTACCTGGGGAAAAAGGGGTAAGCTGTTCAGCAATCAAATGCTGTCAACGTTGAATACTTACGTGTGTGTGTGTATGTGCAGTGCACCAGGGAATAGAAAACTGGACTTTCTCATCACTGCAAGTCTTCAAGGCCAGGTTGGATGGGGCTTTGTGCTACCTGCTGTAGATGAGAATGTCTCTGTCCATGGCAGACGGGGTTGGAACGAGATGATCTTCTGACTATGACCTCATGGCTTTTTTCTGGATCATATCACACATGGTGGGTGGCACAGGTATCCAGCCAGGGTCCTCATGTGGGATTGTCAGCATCTGGGATCATCCAGGCACAGGGTATATCTGCCCTATATATATGTCCATTGTCAGTCCACAGTGGGTCTTCACAGCTGCCCACTGCTTCATCAGTGTCATGTAAGAAGGGTTAGAGAATGAGGATATCCCCACAGCACCAGCAGCTGCCCTGTCCCCAGTGCTGCATGCAACTCCCATCCCATTTCCTTGCATTTTGCCCAGTACCTGAGAGACTGCTCAGGAGAAGACTGGGCTCATGCCACTGCTTCCTTGCTGCTCCTGCCAGGCATCTTCTCCTGCCAGTCTGCCATGACTGGGAGAGAGGGTGGTTAGGCAGATCCCACAACAGGTAGCACCACCAAGGGACAAGAGACCTCCCCACAGGCTGATATGCCACCACAGAAAAAGAAGATGGTGGTCAGCTGGGTGGCCAGACACTGAACAATTTATGTTGTATTACTTTAAGTTTAAATTGTATTAAATAGTATTAAAATGTATTAGTTTAAAATCTATTTTTACTTCATTGTGTAAACTTTATGTTATATCTGTTTAAATTTGAATTGCATTAAGTTGTATATGAGCTATATTAATTTGAATTTTATTAAAAGGAATTAAATTTTACACATGTCAGCAACAAAAAGAGGTCTGTATTTTCTGCTCTGAAACTATTCTACATGCAAATTCTATAAAATCCTGCTGGCTTGATTTTTGCCCAAGCATCCCTGAACTCAGCGATCACTCCATCCTCAATTGGGAAGAACTTAGCCTCACATTGCCTTCTGTCCAGCTCTGTGCGTTCACTACAGATATTGGATATTGGCACCATCTGTAGCGTGCACGTGCACGCTGCCTTTATATAATAAAGAAATCATGTACGCTCCCTGTGAGATGGTAAACAAAGAGACTTTATTTGAATTCGGCGCCCCCATTTATACCCCAATAACACGTGACTTCTAACCAATAGGATTGTCTATCTCTGCGTATGTCCCCTGCCTTCGGTGCCCTCCTCCTGCACCTTGGGACATGCGTCCCACACCATCTACAGTGGAAAAGTGGTGTCTAACACCTTAAGCCTGCAACAACTACAAGTGCAAGAAAGACAGTACTAGAGAAACATGAGAAAGAAAAAAAAGAGTGCAGATGTTGCCCTGCCATTAAGAATGCAAATCCTTTACTGTCCTCTGGGCCCTAAGGATGATTTTTGTCCCCATCAGATGGTAATTATTTTTTTGAACTAGCTGCAGAAAGTTGGGCAGCAAGGAGTTAATGCATTGCAATGCCTCAAACACCAAGCAGGCAACTTAGAACAGGATATGCCTGGAAAGGGGGTTTGTATGAGGGTAAGGCAGCACCTTTCTGGGGGCAAATTTCCTGTTCTGGTCTATGGTGACCACACAACACTAAGGACAGCTCAAGTGCAGAAGTAGGGTCAAGGAGTAAGCAAGACCAATAGAGGGGAATCAAGACCACCAAAAGACCCTCAAAGCCCTCCAGCCCATTTCCAGAAAGGTCCAGAAGACTGTATTGCACATGCTCACTTATTTGCATGAAGAGTGAGAAACTTAATCCCAGGATGAGGAAAATTTATCTATAAAAAGGTACCCCCACAGAGCCTGGGTGGTGCACTCCCAGGACCCTGGACACCCTGTCAGCTGGATCAGTGCTGGACCCAGGAATGGTGATATTCTTTCCTCCTGCCAAGGAGAACAGACAGGGCTATGGGGACAGAGTGGAGCTGCCCTATCTGTCATAATGCCCAAGAGGCTGTCTCTTATGTGATACATACACGTTAATACAATGGCCATGAATTCCACATGGTCTGGATCCTGCTTTGGGCTGAGAAGAAACCAGAGTGCCCACTGTGCAGAAGATTGATAGAGTCTGTCAGGTTTTCTCTGCAGGAACAAAAGTATCTGGAGTGTGTCATCACACACCTCGAAGAATCACCTGAGGGCAGCAGCCAAGCAGAAGGAGCTCTTGGCCTCCTGGATGGAAACAGCTGCCATCGCCCTGCAGGGTCCCCTCCGTCTTCTCCACAGTGGACGCTCTCCCCAGCTGAGCAGGGGGCTGCAGGGACTGAGGCTGTGAGTGACCTCCTGCCCAAGATCTGGGCACAACTCTTCAAAAAAAAAGAGCATCTCCTTGACCCTGTGCTGCCCTGGCTGCGCCAGAGGCTGGAGGCAATATTTGGGTCCCGATGGTGGCTGGCAGTGAGAGCAGAGAAGAGCATCTTGTACACCCTGTGCCTCTGGGGCCCAGATGAAAAGGTCATGCTCCAGATGCTGCAGCCTCTCCTTGAGCAATGTACAGAACAGCTGGTTGGTGGCATCATCAGCATCATTGTGGGTCAGTGCAGCGAGGAGGCGCAGAGGCTGCTGCACTCCCATGCTGCTGGGGAGGAGGACAACAGCCCTGAGGCCAGCTCCTGCTCCACCAGCTCCCAAGGGGGCACTTCCACTCGGCCCCCAATCCCTGCCAGCAGCCCTGCAGGCTCTGACATGGAGGACCAACCCAGCACAACAGAAGCTGCCCTCTGTGCCCTCCAAATCATCCACCCATCTGTGCCCATCCCTACAGAGGAGGTGCAGCCCCAGAAGGAGCAGGGGGAGGCAGTGGTGGCAAGTTCCTCTTCCCACAAGAGCAGCTGCAATCCTGCTACTCCTTGTCAGGGCTGGGAACACTCACCCAGAGGGCCTCAACACCCCTGAAAGAGGAGGGCCCCCAGCATCCAAGAACCCGCCCCAGCACTGCAAGCAGCCACTCCACTGGCAGTGCTAACAGGGCTGCAGCGAATCTTTAGACAAGAAAAAGGAAATAAATTATTCCCCTCACACAGTCTCTGGGTGCTGCTTTCTCCCCCTTCTGTTGCCTTTCCCCTTCCCCTCTGTTGGCATCCGCCTGCTGGGGAGGCACACCTGTGGAGGAACACATTCAGCACAGGTAGCTCCGTGCACAGCTGCAGTGAGAGCTGCAGGTTGAGCTCTGGGTGGGAGCCCGAGGCAAGAGGCCAGGAACTGTCGACCCTTAACAAAGGGCACAGGGACCTGTGACCCAGCCAGGTGACCAGACATTGAGACACAGCAGGAGCCAATGACCCCCAGACTTATGTGTGCTTAGACTGTGAGGGTATAAAAGCCCAGGGGTTGCTTTGTTTGGGGTTCCTCATCAGAGGCTCCAGCTCAGGCTGTTACTTTGTTTTTTAGTTACTGCACCAAGATTAAATTATTTTAAGGATTAGGACATCTGAGACTTTGCTATGGGAAACCTGGGGTTGGGCTGGTAAGGAAACCTGGCCTGAACGTGTCAGTGTGGGTCAGTGCGAAGGGTCTTTGGTTCTAGCTCAGGCTGTGAAAGTGTGACTGCCAAAGTGGCCCTTGGATGGTTGGACAGCGAAATTTCCCTAACAGCAGTATCCAGGGCTAGATCCAGGTGAGTCTGGGCTGTGAAAGGCCTTGCAGGTCTCCTGGAGCAGTCAGCTGGGCAGCAGCCTGACAGGGAGAATAGCAAGGAGGAGCACATTTCCCAGCTGGAGGGTTCCTGGGCCTTACCTCCATTTGGAAATGTTGGCCAGCCCACGGATCAGATTCCTGATCCTCCCCAGAACCCTCTTCTGCACAGCTGTGCATTCAGATTGGGTCAAGTCCTGCAGCACCTGGGAAGAGAGAAGCTGCAGATGAGCCCCGGAAGCAGACACTCGCTCCAGCGGCAGCACCTCAACTCCAATCCTGGTCAAGACTTGGACCATTCCTCAAGGCTTCCTCTGACCTTGAGCAAAGTCTTGGAGGGCTCCTGTCCCTGGAGTGACTCAAAGGCCTGAGACAAAGGCTCCGGGCCAACTCTGTGGCCAGGCAGGCACCATCCTCTGCAGCCACTGTGCTCCAGAAGAGCTTGGTGCCAGCCTCTGCCTCCTCAGGGGAGGTGGATACTCTCCACACAGCGTGCTCTGCCTGCGTAGCACTGGGCTGGGGACCACTCACCCAGGAGTGGGCAAACCCTCCCACGCAGGGTGAGGAACAGCACTGTGATCCCCACTCCTCACACAGGCCAGACCTCAAAGCTGTCCTGCAGCAATTTGTCGACCCTGGAGGCAGGAGAGCTGAGCACTGTCGCCTCCAGCATAGTGTCCATGGTTCTCAGGGTCTGCAAGGAGGATGCAGAGTAAAAGCAGTATTTCTGCTATCCCTTCCACCCCAGGGGACTGATAGGAACTCCCAGCGCCAGGGTAGGATGCCCTTACTGCCTGGGAGAGAGC